GTAAAGAACTATGACCTTTCAGGTAAAGAACTATGACCTTTCAGGTAAAGAACTATGACCTTTCAGGTAAAGCCCTGTAGCCAGGAGATGTAACGGGAAAACATCTCTAAAACAAAACTTTAATTTTTGGGGGTCTAAATCTACGGTCACCATGGTAACGGTGGCCATATTGAAAATGAATAGCTTTCATTAAAGTAAAAAGGATTTTCTAGCTACCAACCGAATTTGTTCAAATTTTGGTCGTACTCAATACACAATTTATGCAGTTGGGATCTTGGATATCTTGAATAGGAAAAAAGATAGAGATGGATAACTGACCTACCCCTTCATGCTTCTGAATTAGATTACACAATCATCCTTGTAACTCACTTATGAAAGCATCGATTTGATTTTCCACCTGTACAAAGTTAGGTTATGGCGGGAATAACCAGCCCTGAACACCTGTACAAAGTTAGGTGATGGTGAACACCTGTACAAAGTTAGGTTATGGTGGGAATAACGAGCCCTGAACACCTGTACAAAGTTAGGTTATGGTGGGAATAACGAGCCCTGAACACCTGTACAAAGTTAGGTTATGGTGGGAATAACGAGTCCTGAACACCTGTACAAAGTTAGGTTATGGTGGGAATAACGAGCCCTGAACATTTCATTGGGATCAAAAAGACAATAACAAAATAGATGAGAAAAGGCTATCAAAAAATGAAGTTTTGAGAAAAACGACATTTTGTTATTTAAATGGAAAAATAAAAGTTCAAGGACAGAAAATCTGAAAGATGTTGATTGTAACAAAAAGAGTAAGCATTTTTTAGATTTAAAAGTGGTTAAAGTATATAATACTTAAAAAGTCCAGATACGATAAACTGAACCAAAATCGTCAGCTTTATAACCAGCCCCCCCCCTCCCCCCCCCCATCCGTACGCCTTGTGGTCACACACACACACACACACACACACACACACCCTTTAAAATTGAACTGATCTATTTTTACCACGAGATATCGATATTTCAATTTGTCCGTGGTGAAGCAGTAGACGATTCCGTGTGTCGTTTGGTGGGATAACGAGGGTGGAGATTGGTGACGTCATCGGCTCAGAGCTCATTACGGTGACCTAGTTCTGGT